AACTCATCAAAAGAAATGCAATTAAAAATTAACCAACTCTCAGGAGAGGCATCTCACCAAAAATATATATATTAGGAACATGTGCACTTAAATAAAAATTAGATACCATTACTCACCTATCAGCATGGTTAAAACACACAATTCTCGTAGTGATAAATGGCAATATGAATGTGGGAGACCAAGAACTATCATGCATTGATGATGGGAATTAAAAATTGTACAAGCACAAAATGAGATTTTTTGGCATTTTTTAAATGGAGATAAAAGTAGACTTAAAATGTGAACTTGTGTTTGTGTTCTAGAATATTTACAATGCTGATTCAGAAACTGATGTTTACAAAGATTTGTTCAGAGGAAGTTCTTTATCAGATCTGTTAATTTGATTCATTCTCAAATCCCTGAAATTTGCTTACAGAATAAATGCTGTATGAACAATCTCTCAAATAATTAAAATTTTTCAACTACACATTTATATTTTTCCTTTTCTTTAATGACTTAATGCCATCTTCTAAGAAAGTCTTCAATCTAATCATCTTTGTCATCTCCTGCATGCCAGCACAGCCGCTTTCTCCCTCAGGGTTTCTGACACTCTCAGGATATGGGTTCTCACACTGTGTCTCTCTCACAGTAATACACAGCCATGTCCTCAGATCTCAGGCTGCTCAGCTCCATGTAGGCTGTGTTCGTTGACACGTCCCTGGTCATGGTGACTCTGCCCTGGAACTTCTGCACATAGTTTGTGTTACCATTCCAAGGTAGACCCATCCCATCACTCAAGTTCTTGTCCAGGGGCCTGTCGCACCCACTGCATAAAGTAGTTGGTGAAGGTGTATCCGGAAGCCTTACAGGAGACCTTCATTGAGGCCCCAGGCTTCTCCACCTCAGCCCCTGACTGCACCAGCTGGACCTGGGAATGGGCACCTGTGGGGAGGATACAGGAGTTGATAAAAGCCCCCTTGACTGGACTTAATCCCCTCCTCATCACTGGGACTAGGGAGCCCCTTACCCTAGTCCCACTGCTCCCACCAAGAAGTGGATCCTCCCAATCCAGTCCATGGTGAGGAGCTGTGCTGCCTGGGGCTTCTCTAGCTGAGGGATGTGGTTTCTGGGTGATATTCTCAAGGCTGCGACATATCCATATTTACCCCAGTGGATCTCAGGTTATTTGCATATTCATGAGACAGAGCATTTCATAGCTCAAGATCCTGATTCAGGATAAAAATGGGGAGATAAATGACACATCAGCCTTACAAGAGTGGGAAGCTGACACTCCAAGCCCTAATCCTCCTTGAGGAAATTCATGCCCTGCTCCACTTACAAACTTTCAGTGGCCAGGCATCCTTTCACTGAAGAGCAAACACCCAGAGGACATGCTCCTCACTGTGAACCCATATTTGATTAGCATAACGACCACCTGGATGATTTCTGGAACCATCACTCTCCATGACCACCTGGATGATTTCTGGAACCATCACTCTCCATGACACTGCGAAGGTGCCTTGACCTCATCCTAGTCCCATCAGGCACCAGCCATTGCTCACTGGTGACTCTGAGAAAGTGACTGCTGATGTCCCACGTGAGTGTCCATCAGGTCCCTCTGAGATCATCTGGGTGCTCCTGAAACAGTGTCTCTAGCACCTGCCTGGTGTTCTGATCCCCCAGGATCTTCAGTAGAAACGCTCTCGGTTTACAGATTTGCCCTGTGATGCATAAGTAGAGCTGATTTTCTCATCTCACAGAGAATAAGAATCAGAAGATGGAAGATAAGTTGGGAGTTCTTTATGAATTCACTACTCCCAAAATAATTGTCAAGGAATTTGTGTTTGGATTAAGTTTAGGTTTTATTTCCTCCCACATTTAATAGAATTTCATGAAATGTTTATATACTTTCAATTCATATCCATAGATCCTCATCTTCACATATTGGTTTCTGACTCACTGGGTCTGTGCACCTGCACACTCTCAGATCCATCACTGCCCTGTCAAATGCACAATGTAGGCAACATTACTTAACATTGAAATCTGAATTTTTTATTCATAGGAATAGAGTGACT